GTCACTATACACAAAGAAATATTTCCATAGGAACCCTCCTACACTGTTGGTGGGAATGCAAGCTGGTGCAGCCACTCTGGAAAACAGCATGGAGGTTCCTCAAAAAGTTGAAAATAGAGCTACCCTACGACCCAGCAATTGCACTACTGGGTATTTACCCTAAAGGTACAAATGTAGTGATCCAAAGGGGCACATGTACCCAAATGATTATAGCAGCAATGTCCACAATAGCCAAACTATGGAAAGAGCCTAGATGTCCACCAACAGATGAATGGATAAAGAAGATGTGGTGTGTATATATACAATGGAATACTATGCAGCCACCAAAAGAAATGAAATCTTGCCATTTGCAATGACGTGGATGGAACTAGAGGGTATTATGCTAAGTGAAATAAGTCAATCAAAGAAAGACAATTATCATATGATCTCCCTGATGGGAATTTGAGAGGCAGGGCGGGAGGTTGTGGGGGGTCGGGAAGGAAAAAATGAAACACGATGGGATCAGGATCGGGAGGGAAACAAACCATAAGAGACTCGTAATCTCACAAAACAAACTGAGGGTTGCTGGGGCGTGGGGACAGGTAGGAAGAGGTGGTTGGGTTATGGACATGGGGTGCGGGGCCTGCTATGGTGAGTGCTGTGAATTGTGTAAGAGTGATGATTCACAGACCTGTACCCCTGGGGCAAATAATACATTATATGTTAATAAAAATAATTTAAAAAAAAAGAAACAATTCCATATATATTTTCTTCTGCCAGTCTAAATTAAAAAAAAAAAAAAAGACTCTCATTTCTCTTACTTCCAGCATACTCTGCAGGCAGAAGTCCAGGAGACTGACACGGTAAGAATTCTAGCTTCTGCCAGTGCTTGTCAGAATTCTCAAGATCTCTTAGTAGCAGCAGCCCCGGGGCAAGCCTTGTCCAGCTAGTGCAATCTCCCGGCTGGCTCACCAATGCTGTAGGGGAAAAAATAAATTTCCCTCTACCCTTCTAGGTTCGTGGCTGAGGCACACCCCGTAATAAAAGATTAGTGGGAAAAAAAATAAATTTAATTTAATACATACATGGGCCCCAAGTTATGACACCCAAAGTGGGGACCAAACCAGGCAGCTTTTATACATTTCAGACAAAGAATACCTTTATAAAGAACTAACAGGACAAAGATGCCTCTACCCTCCAGGTGCTGGGAGGGTACCCTCCACAAAGGGACTTTATTTCTTGCTTTCAGGGAGACAGGGGAGGGTCAGAGTGCCCCTGTTGCTTACACTCGCTGTTTCCCAAGCAATTTTAATTCAAAATACTCAACATGCCAGAGTGACACACCCTCAGGTGGCCTTCCCTGAACCCCATCGATAGTGTCTCCTTCACAGTCACTGGTGATTATTATAGCAACCCTTTTCTGGGTACTCACAGTGCCCCTTAACACTAATTACCCTACACTGAACTTCCACAAGCCACTGAACCATAGGTACTATTATCCACTCCTTTCCTCAGTGAGGATACTGAGGTGGAGAGACTTCAGGGACTTGCCTGAAGTCAGACAGCCGCTGGGCAGCAGCTCCAGGCTTCAGACCCAGACCTGTCTGATTCTAGATGTTGTGCTTTTCACCTCTGCCCCAACTGCACCGTCTCCCCACTCCTGGTCTTCCCTTCCCCAAAGCGTGGTATCTCCGGGACCACCGACATAGTATTAGAATCTATGTTCCTGTTCCATTTTGGCCATGTCTTCTTTCTGAGTCTGTCAAGTTGCTGTGATAAACATACCATCAAATGGGTGACTGTTCAGCAGCAGAAATGTATATCTCACACTTCTGGAGTCTGGGGAGTCCAACATCAAGGCATTGGCAGGTCCAGCTTCTGCTATGAACTACTTTCTGGCTCAGAGATGGCCATATTTTTGCTATCACTTCTCATGGAGGAAGGGGCAGGAAAGCTCTCTGGGGTCTCTTTGAGAACTGCACTAACCCCATTCATGAGGGCTCCAGCCTCATGACCTCTCACCTGCCAATGGCCTTTCTTTGCTGGAAAAAGCTCCACTGCTGATGCTGTTTAGACAAGTGACTTGTCTGCTTCTCAACATTTTTTAAAGTCAGGGGCTTAATAAAGCCACTCCTGACCCCTCATGTGGAATCTCTTTTTCTTTCTGGCTTTGTCCTTATATGCTCCATGTTTGAAATTATTACTACAACCTCCTGTTTATGACAATTTTTTTAAAAACAGTTTTCTTAGAAGACTGCCTTTCTCTGTAGATGAGAGAGAACTCCTGGAGAGATTCATAAAGAGCCAGGATAGGTTTTTATTTCTATCCTAAAAACAATGGAGTAAGTGGCCACATGTCTTTGGTGAGCCATAAGCACATTCTTCGTACCAGCATTAGCTAGAGTGATCTGGTGCTTCTTTTTCCTTTTTTTTTTTTTTTTAATTTTATGTATTTATTTAAGATGGGGCGGGGGAGAGCATGAGTCAGGGAAGGAGCAAAGGAAGAGGGAGAGAGAGAGAGAAACAAGCACACTCCCCGCTGAGCACAGAGCCTAACCCGGGGCTCAATCCCAGGACTTTAAGATCATGACCTAAGCTGAAGTCAGACACTTAACCAGCTGAGCCACCCAGGCACCCCTGATCTGACACTTCTAACTTGATAGAAGAACAGAGACAGTTCTGATTTAGCATCATGATTTTTATGGGTTTATTGCTTCTTCTATTGTCTAGCAACATTTTGGAGGTGAATGTCCACATAATTAAAGCACCTGAGGGCCATGACATGAGTCGTGCTTACAAAGGGTGCTGAATGTATAGATTCAAGGCTGACTGTGTTAAAAGGCATATTCCAGTTATGAAAGGAAACAAGTCAGTTATACAATGGAAGGATTTCCTTACTTTTTCCTCTGCTGTTCCAGAGAGGAGTACAAGGGTCTAAAACTCAGATTTGTTTAACCAAACCTGTTAAACTTTTCATAAATTTACTGGGTTGTAAACGGGAGTTAATCTACACCATACACAAATTATGCGTTAAACAGTTTGGAAAACTAAGGGTCTGGCTTACTTCTATTACCTACGTAAAGTACCTGGAAATCTTACATATAATATTTTTAAATATTTTCCCCCAATGACTAGGTCAAGGATGCTTAAACTGGAGTTCATGGAAAGGTTTGAAAATTGGGGGATTTATCTATGCATTTTCTGGAAAGATAGTCTGTAACTTTCATTAGAATCTCGGTAACCCTTTCCCCACCCCCCAAAAAGGGATACAAAACTTACACTTAAAGTTGATTTTACAATGTTTTCTTTTTGAATCTGAGGCTTGAAATTTAATGAAAAAACAAACAACCTTATCTCCTTTCCTTCTGTGCCTGTCCAATCGCCCTCACTTCCCAAAATGAATAGTGTGTGTGTTATGTGTGCGTGTGTGCATCTGTAAAGCCTTCTCTTAGGACAGTGGGATGCAAAAAACAAAGTTGTTTTAAATAGTGGTAGAAATTTTCATTCTTTCTTTTTTTTTTATAGAACCCTGCTTTGAATTTTTTTTAATTTTTAATTTTTAAAATTCTCTCCCCAGTTTCTTGACTATTATTATTATTGTTACTGTAAATTCTTTTGTGGAAAACTGTAGTGTACTAGATTCTATTTTAGCTAGCAGAGCCGACACAGCAAATTTATGTTCTGTTATAAATTAAGTGATGTGATGACATATGCTTAGTGGTTAGACTGACATGCAAAATAAATCAAATGTAATCATTTGAAAATAAGTTTGAGAGATAAAATAAACCATTTTGGGGTTGAAACCAAAGACAGAACCATAGGAGTAGTGGTTTGCCAAAGCACAAATAAGCTAATTCTGCCTGTAGTCAGCAAAAGAAAAATAATTTCAATTGGGTATTTTATTTTTCTTCTCCTGTGAGTACCATACCTCTTTTCTCTGTGAGGAAACAACTCAAAGAGGTGAAAAAATTTGCCTCAAGTCCTACAGTTGGTAGGTGACGGGACTGAGATTCAAACCTACCGATGTGTGGTCCCAAAGCTTGTTGGACACATTCTTGGGTAGGATCATGCTGTGTTCACCTTTGAATAGCTGACCAATGCCAGCACCTTGCTGTTCACATAGCAGGTACTCAGTAAATGCTTTTGAAAATGAATGAATGGGGGCACCTGGGTGGCTCAGTCGTTAGGCATCTGCCTTCCGCCCAGGTCTTGATCCCAGAGTCCTGGAATCGAACTCCGGCATCGGGCTCCCTGCTCCGCGGGAAGCCTGCTTCTCCCTCTCCTTCTCCCACTGCTTGTGTTCCCTCTCTCGCTGTGTCTCTCTCTGTCAAACAAATAAAATCTTAAAAAAAAAAAAAAAAGAAGAAGAAATAAATGATAGATTTAGTAAGAAGAGAGCATAAGGGCTTCTTAACATGGTACTGTTAACATTTCCGAAGTTTTGTTCACCTCTTCTCTGCGGGGCAGGGACGGGGATCAAGCTACACAACTTATAATTCAGCAACCCAGAAATTTGTCCTGCTTCCCTCTCCTCTGACGGGCCACGGAGCAGAGCAGTTTAACACCAGAACACCAGGGCTCTGGGGCCAGGCTGCCTGGGGGTAACCTTTTTTTTTCTTTAATTGAAATGTAACCGACACATAATATTATATTAGTTTCAGGTGTACGACACAGTGATTTGACATAGAGACGTGACAAAATGCTCACCACACTGTGTTGTCACCGTACAAGGTTATCACAATACTACGGACGGGATTCCCCGTGCCGTACTTTTCATCCCTGTGCCTGAATTCTTTCATAACTACAAGTCTCTACCCTCTCCATTCCCTTCAGCTGCTTAGCCCATCTCCCACGCCCTGCCCTGCCCTGCCCTGCCCTGCCTGGGGTTTAACTTCTGTCTCTGCCTTTCCCCCTCGCCCTGGGCACGTTACCGAGCTCCTTTGTGCCTCAGTTGTTTCATTGGTAAGGTGGGGATTCTAGTTGTGACTTCTTTATGGGGTTGTTTGGAAGATGAAGCAAGTTAATAGATGTAAAGCACATTGTAAAACACAGTAAACACTCAATAAAGAAATTTATTAACTTAAATACGTTTCTTCATAGCTCTTGTAAAACCCTTACCATCCTCTCACAGTAAAGCCTTTCCAAAAAGTGCTTCGGACCAGGGTTTTGTTTGTGTTCTTTCCTGGAGTTTCCTGAATGTGTGCTGTGTTGACATCACATTATTAATATCTTCTGCTGCTTGTGCTCGGTCTTCCAGCGCGGCCTCGGATACCCCCGGGGCTCACTGCACTTCAGTGTACCTCCAAGCATGATAACAGGAACTGAAATGGCACAAACTGAAAGCAAAATAGAAAAATTCAGCCAAGGAACACTTGGCGACTTTTCCCTTTGCTGTGTATTTAAAAAAAAAAAAAAAAAAAAGGGCAGTGGGGGAGGTGCTGTAAATTAAAAACCTATGAAGGCCGGCATGTCGTACAGGGCTGTTTTGGTCTGATTTTCCAAAGATCAGTACCGAGTTTTCATTGCTTCATTGAGCAGACAACTACTGAGTGTTTACTGTGGTGTGCCCTGATTCCCTATATACATCTGGTGTCCATCTAGCCTGGATTTTCCAGAACAATCCTCATTTTAAACGTCTTTGGCCTCTTTTCATGGAAATAAATTAACAAGCCAGGGGGAGAAAAGGCTTTGTCAGAACTTCTGGCTGGAGTTTTGCTTCATATTTACATTCAGCTGTGTTTCTGCCCGCCCCAGGCTTAGGAGCCACCGGCTAAAGTCGTCTCCACAAGTCCTGGAGGGCTGCCGGAGCCAGGGGAAGGGACTTGCTGTCCCATCTCCTCTGTTCCCCCTTTGGAGGGATAAATTTGCATATTAAAATTTTCTTCTCTGATTCTGGTTGTTTCTCTGTGGCTGGAAATCCTGGAAAGTAACTTTTTATATTATATATTCTTAGAATGTTGCTTATTTAAAATGGTTTACAATGAGAGGCATTCCTGTGGTAAGCAGAAAAGAAAGTTTCTTAAGCTATTGACCTAGGGGCGTCTGGGTGGCTCAGTCGAGTTGAGCATCTGACCCTTGATTTCAGCTCAAGTCCTGGTCTCAGGGGCCGGGGATCAAGCCCCATGTTGGGTTCCATGTTCAGCGGGGAGTCAGCTTGAGATGCTTTCCCTCTGCCCCTACCCCCAGTTCACTCTCTCTCTCTCTTTCAAACAGATAAATAACTCTTAAAAAAAAAAAATAAACTGTTGACTTATTACCACAAAGCAAGTGGACATTCTGTTTCTAAGCAGCCCACTAGTAAGGAGTGGCATACTCCAAGAAACCAAAACCCATACACTCTGGGAGGACAGGGATCATCTGCTTTTCTCATCTTTGTATTCCCACAGAGGAACGCTTGCTGAAGATCTGCAGAGGAACGAACAAAGCCCTCTTTAATATTCTCTAAATATCTTTGCTTGCCCGAATAAGAGGACCAAACACTGTAGGTCACCTTAAATGTGTCTAAAGTTATAGGAGACACACAAAAAATACATAAATAGAAATCTATCTCCATACCTGTATCCATCTGGATTTATGCACAGACTATTATTTACTTGATGGAAGGATTCACCAGACCGTTATACACAGCAAAGCTCCATAGGTTTAAAGGACAATCTGATTGTCTTCACTTTGCCTGTGAAATAATGGAGTAGATGAAAAACACTTTGGTCAAACAACAGCCCTAGGTTCGAATTCGACTTCTACCTCTGACCTATTGTGTGTCCAGGCTCCCGTTTGTTTGTTTCATCTCTCTGCGTCCTCTCCACTGTGAAATGAGAAAAATCCCAGCTGTGAAAGGTTCGCCCGGTGTAGCGCCTGGAGCGTGGATATAAATGGTACCTGCTGGCTTTGTTGTTGTTTAGCAAAGCTTTGGGGACTGGCCAGTACAGGAATCCGAGTATAATCTCAACAATAACCGCGAGTCCCAAAATGCATCAGAGAGGCTCACGATGAATTGGTATGAAAAAAGAATGCTTTCCATTGCCTCGTCCCAGCCAAGTGATATAAATGCTTAGACACGCAGCATTTCATGCTTAGAGTTCTGAGAGTACAGAGGCCTCCTTCACTTCCTTGTTTATGTGACAAGAGGGGAAATCCCACCCTCCTCCAGCCTCTCCAGGCTGCCCTTCTGAGGCTCAGCCAGGGGAAAAATGAAGCCGCAGTTAAATTCAAGAGCAAGAGCTGGAAAACTGGGATGTTGGAATTATAGGCTAGCCAGAGGAATAATTAAAGCTTCAGTTCAACAAAAATACCTAAACTTCAGTGTAAACTTTGCAGTCTGATAAATAAACCAAGAGCTGCCCCATACGGTGAGATAGGAAGTCTCCCCCCTGACTGCCCTCTTCTTCTCTGAGGCATAGGGCGCCTGAGGACTGACTAGCCTGTGGGCTGAAAGCCTAGATATCTCCCCAACATGGCCAAACAGGGAGAGTTGCTCCAGATTCATGGTTCCAATCCCCGCTGAGCTTCAGGAACCAGGGACAGGGAAAAAAAAAATGAGGAAGGGGGTAGGAGGCAACTGACAGGTGGGTTTCTTGCTCCAGGATGTGGTCTCCAGCAGATCTAGTTATATGGGAACCAGCCAAGCTATGTCTGTGGGGTGAGCTTCCCTGTGGCCCGGCTGGGTGCAGTGGCTCTGCCCTTTGCTAAGACCTTTTGCAAGTCAACAAGTGAACAGACTTCCTCCTCATACCACCCCTGTCATGAACTTTTTCTAGAATTGGGGTGAGACCTTTGGGAAGTGGATAAGGAGTCACAGGCTACTGGGCACGCCTACCTCGACCCCCCACATTAGAAGATCTCCGTGTCCCTTTTGTCCTTGGAGTGAGTGTATAATGCCATTACAGTTAAAAGCCAGAAAGACAGAGTGGCTTTTAAGGGAGGAAACCCAGAAAACTGACCCCCTTGTCCTGGTCCCAAGCCAACAGGGTGCTCAGGTGCTTCAGACTAGGAAAGTACAGAGGGAGCACAGGGCTCAAGTAGGAGAGCATTGTCCTTGGAGAGTGTGGGTCCATGCACGTGTGTGTATGCACGCACACACACAAGTGTACGTAGAGAGTTTACGGAGATTTTTGAGACTACAACTTGTACTCATCTGAATTTTTTACAATTACTCAATATAGTATTATATCCATACTAGAGGCTTGACTGATATTTGTTGAATAAATGAATATATAACTGTTGAAATAAAGAGTCTTGGGTGGTTGAGAATGAACTTCATGGAGGAGGTAGTAAGTGACCGAGATCATTATGGGGCACGGACCAGAATGCGGGGTATAGTAAATTTTTCAGTGTTACCTACTGTACAGCCTATAGTAGTCAATCGATCTTAAAAAACCAATACCAGTTCCCTTCTGCTCCCACCTTATACAAGGTGACAGGAGGGAGGGGAGACCACTTAACTTTTGACGGATCTTTTTGCCGCTGAAGGTAAGGAGGTTGTTTCCTGAGGACCAGAGGCATAACTGTCCTGTTTTCAGTTCTGTTTTTCTGCTCTGCTTACAAATGTCTTAAAAAGAACCAAGACACAAAAGCCCTACTGGTGAATAGCAGGGGTCAGGGGATCTTACCCTCAGAGCCTCTCACGGCCAGAAACACCCATCACCTGGTTCTGTCGAAAATGGATACACAGGACAGGCTCCTTGGTGATGAACTTCCCTGTGCCCGATTCTGGGCAGAGAGATCAATTGTTTATTAAAGCTCAGGTGACTAGATCTTTCCTCATGCACACACGATGAATCATGGTGTAATGATCATAGTGTATCCTCCGGTGCTTTTTCAAATATGGTGTCTTTGTAGAACATTTCATGTGTTTGGCTTATTTTGAAAATAACATATCTTCCTTTACCAGAGCAGGGACAGCTGCTGAGTGAAGACAAGGGGAAGAGAAATATGCCATTTCTACAAGCGTTAGTGGCTATTCTCAACATATCTTGGTGTAACTTAAGATTAGCTGCTTGTAATGGTTCTTTTTATGTGCCAACCTGGCTGGGCCATGGTACCCAGATGTGTGGTCAAACATTATTCTGGATGTTTCTATAAGGGTGTTTTGGATGAGATTAGGGTTTAAATTGGTTGATTTGATGTAAACCACATTGCTGTCCATGATGCGAACAGGTCTCATCCAATCAGCTGAAGACCTGAATAGAGTAAAAATCTGATCTTCTCTGAACAAAAGGGAATCCTGCCAGCTGATGGCTTTTGAACTTGAACTGCAACATTGGCTCTTCCTAGGTCTCTAGCCTGCTGGCCCACCCTACAGATTTTGGACTTGCCATCTACCATAATCACCTGAGTCAATTTCTGGAAACAAATCTCTCAATAGATTAGACAGATAGATAGGCAGGCATATCCTACTGAATCTCTTTTTTTCTGGAGCACCCTCATTAATACACTGCTCTAACAGATAACCTTGTACATTTCAGTAGCTGCATACAAACTTAATGTCTTGCTCAAGGAGAAGCCCAATGCCAGGGTCCCGTGTCAGGGGCTGGTTTTTCAGCATGAGGTGATTCAGGGACCCAGTCTTCTTTCATCCTATTGGCCATTTTCCTCTAGACCCTCCAAGTCCTGTCTGTCTAGCCAGTAGAAAGGAAAGTGACAGTAGAGAGGCACGTCTGCTTCTCAACCCTTTTGACCAGATGGAACACACATCCTTTCCAATCACTCTGCTTTGCTGGGAACTAGTCACATGACTCCGTTGAGACCGCTGGTGGGACTGGGAAGTGTGGTCCTTTACTGGGAAGCTACTTACCAACAATTGTCCACTGTAGAAAAAGGAAGCAGGACTTTGGTAACTACTACAAACTTCATGAACACTCACTTTCTTATCTCTGTATTTAGGCCTTAATCCACTTCAACTGTCATTCCTTTTGTGTTTTCTTTGGTGGATTTATTTCTTTCTGACATGACACAGAGCCTCTCCTGTCATTTTTTGAGTGATTAACCTCATATCATTAGACCTTCATAGATTTTAAATCTAATAAGGAAATCAAGGTTAACACAGATTTAAAAGATTAAATAATAGAAAGCAATGTGTATTATTATATATGTCAGGAGCAGGACAGATGGCAAGTACAATGGGTGTTCAGAGAAGGGAAAAAATTCTTGAGTTGCTATGTCCAGAGAAAGCATTTAGGGAAGAAGTGAACTTGAATTGAGACATTACATATGAGTGGGATCTCAATAAGCAGAAGGGGATGGGGTGAACATTCCAAGGAGGGTGAATAGGAGGCATGAGCTAGAAAACAGAGGCAGGAATGAGAAAGTCATTTTTGAGGAATAGTCAATAAACCAGGCCAACTGGAGAGAACACGGGGAGAACATTGTTTTTTTAAAAGGGGGGGCAAATTAAACCTAGGTTCTGTTTGAAGTAGATTAAAGTAATATAAAAATACTGGGGATCCTGAGGCACCTGTGTGCTCCATTGGTTAACTGTCTGCCTTCGGCTCAGGTCAGGATCCCAGGGTCCTGGAATCGAGTCCCACATTGGGCTCCTTGCTCAGTGGGGAGCCTGCTTCTCCCTCTCCCTCTGCCTGATGCACCCCCTGCTTACGCTCTCTCTCTCTCTCCCTCTCTCTCTGACAAATGAACAAATAAATAAATGCTGGAACTCCTTGGAAGAGTGTTGGAAGAATGACACAGTAGAAGTTTGCAGGACAGTTTGGCGGGGAGCACACAGAGGCATGACTCACGACGATACAATCTTGTGGGTGCCTTTGTGTTAAGTCTGAACTCTTTCAGTTGTGTGTGAAAGAAGTGCAACTTTATCAGGCTTAAGCAAAAAGAGAACGTCTTGTTTTATGTAAAAGGGTGATCTAGGCTGCATGTGTTTCAAGCATGGCTGGACTCCAGGAGCAAAAGAACATCATTAGAGCTCACTCTTTCCCTCTGTGGGCACCACATGACTCCGCATGCAGCCCTTCCCTGTATGGGGGACAACATGCTGTTGGCAGCTCCAGCCTCATATGCTTGGCAAGTCTAGCAGAAAGAGACAGTCTTCCTAGATCGTGCCTGTGGGGAAGCCTGGGACAGGGGCTTCTTGTCCAGGTTTGAGTCATATGCGCATCCCTGAGCCCATCCTGTGGACAGAGTGGTGGTTTCTTCTGGCCAGTGCTGGGCCACGTGCCCCCTGCAAGGGAGAATAAAGGTATTTGGGGGAGGGTATGGTGAGGCTAACCTGTCCCATCTGAAACAGGAGAATGGGTTTTCTTTTCTTTCTTTTTTTTTTTTAAGACTTTATTTATTTATTTGACAGAGAAAGAGATCACAAGTAGGCAGAGAGGCAAGCAGAGAGAGAGGAGAAAGCAGGCTCCCTGCTGAGCAGAGAGCACGATGTGGCGCTCGATCCCAGGACCCTGGGATCATGACCTGAGCCGAAGGCAGATGCTTAACCCACTGAGCCACGCAGGTGCCCCCAGCAGAATGGATTTACCATGAGAAAGAGAATTTTTATGATCAGAAGTAGGAAAGAAGTGCAGTTCACTACAACTAGAGGTTCTTTTGCATCAGGCTTTCCTTTAAAAAGAAATTTTTTTTCTAAGTTCCTCATGAAACAAACAAACATTTGAGTGCCTCCTCATTACTAGTATCTTACAGCTCACCTCCCTATATCATCTGTGCTAGTACAAAGCATACAGTAAACACTCAACTTTGTCTCTGAATTCTACTCCCAAATGTCTTGCTCTCAACCCTCCGTCCACACTCCCCAGCTGGTCCAGTGGACAGTGCCCTCGTGCTTGTTTC